AAGAAAATATTCAAACTATCCAACAGGTCTACTATTCAGAATCTATAAGGAACTTAATTTATAAGCAAGAAACAACCCCCATTAAAAAATTGGCAAAGGAACACTTTTCAAAAGAAGACATACAGGCAGCTAGAAAGCATATATAAAAAAAAGCTCGGTATCACTAATTATTGGAGAAATGCAAATAAAACCACAATGAGACACCGTCTCACACCAGTCAGAATGGCTTTTATTAAAAAGTAAAAATATAACAGATGCTGGAGAGATTATGGAGAAAAGGAACACTTATGCACTGCTGGTGGGAATGTAAATTAATTCACCCATTGTGGAAAGCACTGTAGTGATTCCTCAAAGGACTTAAAACAGAAATACCATTCAACCCAGCAACCCCATTATTTGGTGTATATACCCAAAGGATTATAAATTTTTCTGCCATAAAGACACACACACATAAATGTTCATTGCAGCACTATTCTCAATAGCAAAGGCATGCAATCAACCTAAATGTCCATCAGTGACAAACTGAAGAAAGAAAATATGGTACGTATATACCATGGAATACTACCCAGCCATAAAAGTTAATGAGATTGCATCCTTTGCAGCAACATGGATGTAGCCGGAGCCTTTATCCTTACCAAACTAATGCAGGAATAGAAAACCAAATACCACATGTTCTAATTTATTAGTGGGAGTTAATAACAACAACACATGGATACAAATGAGGGAACAACAGACACTGGAGCCTACTTGAGAGTAAAAGGTGAGAGAAGTGAGAGGATCAGAAAAACTACCTATCACTTACCATATTTATTACCTAGGTGATGAAATAATGTGTACAAAAGGTGAGCACAAGACACATATTTGTGTATTTGGTATTGATAAAAACTGCAAAGAAGAAATAGATTGAAATGAAGAAAAGTGTCAGGTGGAGAAAGCATGTCAGAAAGAGTTCAGATGACTACAGGGTAATTAACTGGTAAGTAACCATGAAATACAGCTTATACAACAAACCTGCACATGTAACCCTGAATCTAATATAAAAGTTAAAAACAGTAGCTGTCTGCCATATTGTCCCTGAATACAATACTTCCAATTCCCAGTCAATTACCCCGTAGTCATCTGAACTCTTTCTGACATGCTTTTTACACCTGACACTTTTCTTCATTCCAATCTATTTTTTCTTTACAGATTTAATAGCAAATGCATGAATATATCTTAAGTCCTTTGCTTACCTTGTCACACTGTTACTTCCTTTTTCTTATCCCTTGGGCTTCTATGTGACACAGTTGCCTACCCTATTGTTTTTCCTATAGATATAAGCTTTATTTGAACAAAGCCATGAACATTCATTGAGGTATTATCTACGGCTGCTTTGTGTGTGTGTGTGTGTGTGTGTGTTTTCCAATGACTTCTTATTTTTTATTGTGGTAAAATACAAATAACGTAAAACTTACCATATAACATTTTTATTTTAATTGGCAAAAATTTTATATATTATGTACAACATTTTCTAAAATATTTAAACATTGTGGAATGCTTCAAAAAACTAATGAATGTATACATTATAGGTTTATCATTTTGGGGCAAGGACACTTAAAACATATTCTCTTAGCAGTTTTCAAAATACAATACTGTATTAGCCAAAGTCAGCATGTTGTTCAATAGATCTCTTAAGTATATTTCTTCTATCTATGTGAAATTTTGTATCATTTCACCAACATCTCCCCAACCTACCCTTCTCCTCCAATGCTCTAGCCCTTGCTAACCATTGTTTTACTCTCAATTCTGTGAGTTCAACACTTTAAAATTTCATATACAAGTGATATGATGTAATGTTTGTCTTTCTGTTCCTGACTTATGGCACTTGACATAATGTTCTCCAGATTCATTCGTGTTGTTGCAAATGACAGGATTCTCTGCTTTTTAAGGCTGAATAGATTTCCCACTGTGTGTGTGTTTGTGTGTGTATGTATAGGTATGTACCTGCATTTTCTTTATTGATGGACACTTAAGTTGATTCCCTATATTGGCTGTTGTGAGTAGTACTTCAGTGTACATTGGAGTGCAGTTATCTCTTTGACATTTTGATTTCATTTTTTTGGAGTATATACCCAGCAGTGGAATTCCTGAATCATATGGTAGTTGTAATTTTCTTGAGAAACCTCCATACTGTTTTTCATAATGGCTATAATAATTGACATTTCCACCAACAGTGTGCAAAGATTCCTTTTTCTCTACATGTTCACCATAACTTATCTTTTATATTTTTGATGACAGCCATTCTAATAGTGTGAGGTAATATTTCATTGTAGTTTTAACTTGCGTTTCTCTGATGATCAATGATGTTGAACATTATTCATTCATGTGCTGGACATTGGTGTGTCTTCTTTTGAGAAATGTCTATTCAGGTACATTGCCCTAAATAGGGTTTGAGGTATTGTGTTTACTAATTTTTAGTGTGTAATTTAGTGGCTTTAAGTATATTCCCATTGTTGGGTAAACATTAGTCATTAAGCGATAACTCCGCATTTTCCTCTCCCCTAGTCTTTAATAACTTGCATTTTTTTCTCTATGAATTTTACTATTCTAGGTGCCTCATATAAGTAGAAGCATAAAATATTTGTCATTTTATGTCTTGCTTATTTCACTTAGCATATGTTTCCAAGGTTCATTTATGTTGTAGTTTGTATCAGAATTTCATTCCTTTTTAAGGCTGAAAATACTCTGCTGTATACATATCACAGTTTGTTTATCCATTTATCTGTAGGTGGATATTTGGTGGTTTTCACATTTTTGCTATTATGAACAATGCTACTATGATCATTGGTCTATAAATATGAGTCACTGCTTTGAATTATTTTGGTTGTAAACTTAGGGGTAGAATTGCTAGAGCATGTCTAATGGTGGATACTTTATTATGTGAGCTTCTCTTGTAAACTTGTTGACATTAGAGGCAGTACCTTACTTTCCTTTATAAGGTCCGAGCCCAGTACCTGAATATAGTGGAAATTGGACCTTATGAGATGTTTTATGAGAATAAGGAAATGGAGGAACCATTTTCCTGCTTAATAAGTTTTATGACCATGAATAGGAGTTGGTGGAATTGAAGTTCCTAGTACTTGATCTAAGTCTCTCCAGAGTCAGATGTATGGCGAGCCAAAATGTATCTACCAGCAATGTTTCCCACAGTGTGAGTCGGTTTCTTAAAAAAATACATATTCTCTGTTTAACTGCTTGAATCTTCAGTGGTATATTATCTGATTATCACTGTCACTATAATTAAGTTTCATGAAAGCAGAAGATTTTTCCTTTTACATGCTCTTACTACATCATCTCCTGGCATAAAGCCAAAAAGTATTTTTTGAGTTAGTGAATCAATGAATCAATTGATAAATTTATAGTAGTTTTTCCTTATGGAGGTATTTCTTTCCTCTACTGCCATATGAGAAATCCCAGGATGAAATGCAGATGATGATGCTTTCTTCTTATGGATTTATTAAACTCCCCTTCGATGTGGTAACATCTTGTAAAACTAAAGTATGATATCATGACCAAGATGTCAACATTCGTAAAACCCACCAATAGTATTCAGATTTCCCCAGCTTTATATTCATGTGTCTGTGTGCATGTGTGCATGCATATGTGTATATTTAGTTCTATGCAACATTATCACATGTGTAGGTTTGTAAATCCACCATCAGAGTCAATATGCAGAACAGTTCCATCATTACAACGATCCCTCATATTGCCCTTTTAGAAGAACATTCAGCTAACCCACATCTTACCCACATTCCTGACCTCTGGCGACTGCCACTCTTTTCTCTATTTCTGTAACTTTGTCTTTTCAAGACTGTTATAGATACAGAATCATATAGTATGCTGTATTATTTGAGAATAGTTATTTCTCCGCTTAGCATGATTCCCATGAAATTCATCCAATTTGCTGCATGTATCAATAGTTTGTTCCTTTTCATTGATGAGTGTTATTCTATGGTATGGCTGTACCATGGTTTGTTTAACTATCTACTCTTGAGGGCATCTGGGTTCCCAGGTTTGGGCTATTACAAAGAAAGGTAGTATGAACACTTATGTGCAAGATTTTATGTACACATATGTTTTCATTTCCTTGACATAAATGTCCAAGAGCCTGATTGCTAGATTGCATGTTCAGTTTTGTGAGAAATGACCAGACTGTTTTCCCAAGTGGCTGTATCATTCGCATTTCCACTAGCAAGTGTTGAGTAATCCAGTTCTCCACATGCTCACCAGCATTTTATGGCACTGTTTCTCTATTTTGACCATTAAGATAAATGTGCAGTGATATATTATTGTGGTTATAATATGCATTCTTCTACTGACTAACAATATTGAACATCTTTTCACATGCTTTTTTGTCTGATGCTTGTGTTTAACCTTACTCCACCTAAACATGTTAGGAGTGTGAAAGGACAGGAGAGACAGAGATTTGCCTTGATTAAGGCAAATAAAAAACTGCCAGATTTTCTTTCCAAACACAGTCCTAGACAGAGATAAGAGAGCTGGCAATTTGCTCTATTGTTTATTAGAGACCTGACATTCATTCTAAAGAAGAGGCATTTTATTAAAATGCAGTCAGCCTTAATTATAAGGACGCTCCTTGGATCTAGACAGAAGTACTGGTGATTTTTTTTTAGTTTTAATCTATACTAGAAAGCATATCTTAATTTTAGACATCTTTTATGCATTATCGCTGTTACTACATTTTATTTGGAGATACTCCAATTGGCCTCTTTAATCTGCAGTATTCTATTTATGTGGCGAAAGTAAATGTATTTGGGGTGCTTGTTATGGAAAGTGGCTTTGCAAATGCATTTTGTTTAATTTTTAGATTATTTCTGAAAAGCTGTAATGCTTAGTCTCTGAAAATAGCTAAATGCAATTACCATCACATTTTTATTATTACTATTGCAACTAGGCATTTGGTCTCCTACCTTCAAATACTTTCCCCTTCTGTTTAACAGGTTGATTTAGTGAATATTGGAAGTACTGACATCGTAGATGGAAATCATAAACTGACTCTTGGTTTGATTTGGAATATAATCCTCCACTGGCAGGTAAGAAACCTGATGAATGGTCCCTTTTCAGTAACATTAATCTTTTATTTTATTTTTACCCTTGACCTGTAAAACAAACACGTATTTCTAACAATAACAAACGCTTCTCCATGGTGCTGCTTTTTAAATTGACACAACCATGTCACCTGAAATGTTAAGAATCATCAGGGTATAAAATAGGTTCTGGTATGTTTACAGAAATGGTTTTCAAAGTTTTATTTCATCAAGTAGGCATAAGGTAAAAATACAAAGTCCCGATCATAGGTTAGTGATTTTTTTTTCACAAATGTAGGTTCTGTAACTTCTCTGTAAGTGAATTTACATAGCTTTGTAAAAAGAAAGGTATTTTTAAATTTTAATTGCTATCAAAGCAGTGAGGCTTTCTCAGATATGGGGATTCTCAACATAAATTATTGCTAATAAAAGATGAGTAGAATATGGGTACCTCTATCCATATATGTGTTATACAGACAAACTCACTTCATAATTTGGTTTGGAAATTATATTTTTAAGTCACCTGAGCATAGGGTCGTCTGACTATTTGACCTCTGCAAAACAGATTGAAGGTTTTGTGGAAAAGATACACGCGCGCACACACACACACACACACACACACACATATATATAAATATATATACACACAAATTTTATATATGCTCAAAATATATCCACATATATGTATATTAGACCATTAACTTATATCCACTAATATTAACTCGTATACATAATATTCATTATATACATATACACACACACACACACACATAATATATATACACAAACCAACATAATCTTGAATTTAAACTTCCATAGTTACCTTCTTAGTGGCATTTGGTATGTTGCCACCCCTGTTCTGGGCCATAGCCCCTTCACTATCAGAAGAATAAAAATAACTGTGTGTATATGTCTTATCGGGATTAAATGGAAGACTATCTGGAAGGCACTCAGTATAGTATACCACTTTTATTTGAGGAGTATCATGTGACTTGTATTGATTGCTTAAAGTTTTCCACTCATTTAAAAAATTTGGAGGGTGCTTGAGAAATGACTACTATTTATACTGGTAGGGATTACTTTATTGTAAAACAGCTTTTTTTGAGATGTAATTGTAATACCATGAATGTACCCATTCTAAGTATAAAATTCAATTTGCATCAGTCTGGTTTAGTTGTAACTTCTGAAACTATTTTGAGGGATGAATAGTTTTTTTTCTCCCTGTTCATTAAAAGTTTTAGGATATTTACAGAGTTATACAGCCATCATAGCAATCTAATTTTGGCACTTTTCCACCTCCCTAGTAAGAAATTTCTTCTCCATTTACAGTTATTTTTCACTCCCACCCCAGCCCTAGACAATTGTCAATGTATTTCCATCCATACATATTTGCCTTTTTAGGCATTTTTTTATCAAATAATATAATATGTGTTCTTTCATGTCTGGCTTTTTTTCACTGAGTATAATATTTTGGGTCCAGCCATATTGTAACAGATACTATGACTTCATCTGGTAAATTTGAATTTTAACTTGAATTGTAGATTGCTCTTGCTCAAAGTCAGATAGTAGTTAGACACGAAGTGTACCTACTCAATTCAGCAGCCATATTGCTCTCCTGACTGGCCCCCATATATTTTTATTCCAAACTCTCTGAACAGGCTTAATGCTGTTTCACAACAATAAGGGGGAGAGGAGAGAGAGAAAGGAGGGAATGAATACGTGCTGGCAACAAAGAACAGCTCATCCCAGCCTTAAATGAGCCCAAGTTGGCAGATTTTCAGCACTTTCCATATTGTGATGGTATCACATCAAACCAGCAAGCAACATACCTCACCTCTCCCCAAACTGCTTTTCGTATGTTGCTCAGTACTTCTCAGCATACCTTGAGGAAGGAACAGTTTTTTTTTCCTAATCCATGGTATGTGAGATACAATAAAACCCCAAAGCATTACAAAAATAAGACACCAAACACCCAAGCTTCCTCTTTTATTAAATGCAATAGATATAAATGGTACTATGTAAGATTGCTATGTAAGTTTCTTGATGCACTCTCAATTGTTGCCTTTATCTTATGGCATAGTAACAAATAGTTCCTAGAGTTAATCCAGTTTGTGGATCCCATTTCAAGTAACACAGATTATGTTTTGTTAAAGCCAGCACAGGAACTCAGGCATGCACAGAACTCCAAAAGGCACTTTGAATTGTATTTATTGTTTATACTATTTCTCGTATAATCTTACCTTTTAAAAAATATGTTGAAACTCTTTCCAACTCCATCTGAACTAGTCCAAGATAAACTTTCAAGACTATTCTGTCTTATAACTTCTTCACTTGCTTGCAAGTTGTTCATTTTTTATTATCAGCATGAGGAGGACATTTTTCAATGAGGAATACCAGAAGGAATGCTTTTTCAATCTTTGTCTGAGACCTCTCTTATAGCCTCTTGTTTTCCCTTTATGCCCTTGAATTACCATATCCTTGAGACTGCAAGACTGTGGATTCTTCTCAGCCTCTGTCTACTTATCTCATCTCTCTCTTATATCTCACTTCCCTGTTCTAAAACTATTAAGCACACTTTGAAAACTCATCTTGCTCAGTGTTCTTCATCATAATCCAGTGAATCTCAAAATATATTTTTACCAACATTACATATTTTTCTTTCTATTAAATAGTAGAATCCCTTGAATCTCAGCAAAGATTAAAGGACATTCTGGTCAACTTAATGTACATTCCAGATCTATCAGATTAAGAGCAGCATTAAGAGATGGAAAGATGTTGACCACTTCCTCTATTGCCACATGCTATGTTATTAATAGTGCCATGGGGAACTTCTCATTGAACTTGTGAAAACTCAGGAATGCAAACCCTGATTTCCTATCACTGTTTTTCCAGTGTTTATCTCAAATAAAATTGCTAGCCTAAAACAATAACACATGTTTTGTAGTGTAGGAAGCTTTGAACAAAATTGCAAAGCATATAAAGTGTGTTTGACATCTTTTTCCTCCTTGCTTTTTAAGTGCAATCCATTCTTTTCTGAATGCTAACTTGGCTCTGGCAACCATCTGCTTATAAAAATGAATCTTGCTCACAGTGGTGAGCTATCAGGAGTCAGGTTCAAACTTTTACTGAACAATTCAAGGGATGCACTTAATGGCTGTTCTAATTCAGTTTAGAATTTTATATTATTTATACTATTTGAAATTACAGGAGAGTAATGATGTTTGCCCTGCTGAAAGCCATCCCTGTAAAATTCCTTCCTACCAAGTCACTTCTGTGCAAGACAGTACTTGCTCTGCTCTTTTGCAGAGCTTCACATAGACGATCCTGAGCATACAAGAAGATTATTCCTATTCTTCTTCACTTCTCTTCCTCTGCTGCAACTTCTTTTAATCACAGTCTGGTTTCTGAGAAGCAGACTTTGGAGTTGAGTTTTGTAGGCAGCATCTTTATTAAGCCATACCCTAGAGACTAACACCTGTAGAAGGGCAGAGGTGACAGGAGTGGGAAGAGGAAAGACTAGAGCTGTGATGTAAACCCTATAACACCCTTGATCAGCCCCGTGGACAACTTGGAGCTAGGATGACCCTTCAGAGTTGCCTCAAGTGGGGTTAAGATGGATGAGTGTTTATACTACACCCCTTCATCAGACAGTAGATGTGGGTTGCCCTGGAAAGGATGTGACATTGGCTGACAGGACTCTGCAACTCAGGTGGTACCTGAGAGAACGAACAACTGGAAGCTGCCTGGCTACAGCTGGAGCAACGAGCCCTTCCTTGAAGGTGAATCTTGGTGGTGCTTCTCCATGTCCATTATACCTTCTTTGTCCAGTTAATTCCTAGTCATTTCAACTTTTTACCTTTTAAAAATGGATTTATAGTTGTATGCACATGAACACACAAATACATCTGTTTACATTGAGCCTCTTTTAGGGACAGTAAAACTTGAAGGCAGGTCAGTTTTCTGTGTACAGTCTTACATTTGGGATAAGCTCCATTATTTTTTTGATAACTGTCTTTTTTTTAAGGAAAAGGAGACATGTTTATCATACATTGCTCTTTATTATTATTTTTTCTGAGCAACATTTGCACCTAAGTAGAAGCCATAACAAAGAAGCTGAGACAGATAAGCTAAATTAGTGACACAGTGATGCTAAAGGTGTTTTGGATTGAATACTTTGTTGTCCATTAACATTATGCACACAGAGGGCAGACTGGCCAAGCATTTCATAAATGAATCACATTCGTCATTGGAAGACTGCTTGATCAGTGCAAATCCATTACCACCATTAAGCCACTATCTGCTGATTTCAACCTTAGTTCAGCACAGAATACAAAGTACACCTTCTGCCATCACTGTACATAAAGGTTGAACAATTTATAATTTTAGAATATGAGAAAAATGATGTAATTATTTGACCTGTTTATTCACTGAATAACTGACTGCATAAGTAGGTTAAGAAGGAATTAAGAAAACTGGATAATCCACTCCTAAGTAATAGACTTAGTTATCAAGGGAATGTGACAAATACATGCAAAGGTTTTTCTTATCTCCAGATCATTACTGTGTTTACAAAGCATCATCTGAAATCTTTTACAAGTATGTTAAAATAAGATTTAGTAGTATATTTTAAAATTTGCATTTATTTTTTAATTAAAAATGACTAATATTGAATATATTAAAATATTCATTTAACCCAAAGGCATTTGTTAACTTCTATATGGATGAAGAAGTAAAATTGTCATAATGCACAATAAATATTCACCATCTGATCAAATGTTGGCAGTATATAAACTTTAACTTTCCCAGAAGGAAAGTGCTTAGTGGTACAGACTACTCACATTTACATATATGTCTTCTTCAAACATCTCAAAAGGGGCTTATATTTAAAAAGTAGTCTTTAACAAATAATAATTATTTAATAAAATATATAGGCAGTTTTTTCTATAATGAGGTATCACTGCATTCATGAAACTTAGAAAAAATGCTTAGAATGGATTTCTGCATCAGATGACTCAGAAGAACAAAACTTTATAATCTGTTGAATAGCATCTGCACATGGATGAAGTATATGAGGGAATCAAATACATGGAAAGCAGTTAAAGAAAACAGAACAAAGCCCACACATTTACAGCTCATATGGATAAATATTCCTTTTATTTTATTGCTTTTTTCTTTATTTTAGATAGGCAAACATTTCTGTCTCTTCAGTTCAGCCAGTAAACATAACTTGTATTAAATGATGGCATGAAACTAGGGGTTTTATCTGACCATATTTTGTACTTTAATCTGCATATAAGATACAAAGAAATAAGGCCTAGAAAAGGTTAAGCGACTTGCCCAATTATCACAATTAGTTAATAGCAAAGGCAAAATTTGAACATATACTTTCAAAAAACTATTATCTACTATACTATTCCTCCCATCCAAAAATCACTGACTATATCTTAAGTTCTTGTTTAACAATAAGTCTAATTTTTTTTTTTGAGGTGGACTGTTGCTCTGTCACCCAGGCAGTGCAGGACAGTGGCGTGATCATGGCTCACTGCAACTTCTGCCTCCCGGGTTCAAGCGATTTTCCTGCCTCTGCCTCCTGAGTAGCTGGGATTACAGGTGTAAGCCACCATGCCCGGCCAAGTCTAATGTTTTATACGCTGTCTTCTCTAGTCTGTTCATTGAATGATAGAAGGTGAGCAATTCTATAAACAGTAAATGTTCAGTCTAATATGGCAGAATTCAGGAGTGATAATGAACATATTTGGTAAATGGTATGGCATAGGCACTAACGAATCAAAATAGACTCCTTGCCTTTTAGAATAGACTTAATTCTGGTAGAATCTCTTATGTCTTCTTATTAATTGATATGAAAATTCCTATTATCACTGAAGATCAAGGATGTTCATATTTAAGTTTGCATGGTTCTTGCTCAGAGAATGCATTTTCTTATGAAAATTTATTTCCACGTGTAGGTCAAAAATGTAATGAAAAATATCATGGCTGGATTGCAGCAAACCAACAGTGAAAAGATTCTCCTGAGCTGGGTCCGACAATCAACTCGTAATTATCCACAGGTTAATGTAATCAACTTCACCACCAGCTGGTCTGATGGCCTTGCTTTGAATGCACTCATCCATAGTCATAGGTAAGGAGACTACTGGGACATTAAATAACTTTTAAAAGTGTTGATTTAGACTCTGATAATTTGTTTTTCCCCAGTGTGGTTCCAGATCATGTCCTACTTTACAGCATGTTATGTACGTTGACCATTTGATCTAACGTTCCTATGGCATGACCTAATTAAGAATATTTTCATGTGTTTATGTGATACATACCATTTAGTTGGTGAAATATTAACATTAGTGGAGCATGAAATTGGTTATGATGGAGGAAGAGTATCAATATGTTTGACCTTGGGACTCTCAGAAAATCTGGGTTATATTCTAACCTTGATGAGAATGGGGTTGATCTTTTTATACAAATAATGTGTTTGTATAAGCCTAAATTGTACAGCTAAAAGTGGTTCTAGATCTCATGTGTGTAGTTGTAAAATTAATTACCATAATTAGATAGTGTGGAGAAAGAAACATCTGTCTTATCAGATACACACTTAGATACAAAACACCCTGTATACTTTCTTCTAGTTCAGGGTCGTAAGATGCTCTGAGCATTTTAGCAAGCAAGACGAAGAGTGGAACACAGTTAATTCTATGACACAGTATTCAGAATACCAAAAGAAACAATTGCTCTGGAACAGCAAATCAATTGCTATAAAGCAAGAGAGAGTTCTTTTTGTTTTGGATCTAAATAAAAAGAACTCACTATAGTATTGTAAACTAAAGTCCTTGACTATATTCCATACAACATTATATTTAAGATGCAAAACAAGATTTTTGCTTCTCTTGTGTAAAGAAGTTCAGTAAATGAATGAACAGTTCAAGAAAAAGCAAAGCAATGTAGGAAATACATGTGTGTGTGTGTGTATACATATATATATACACACACTCTTACAGATACAATATATATTATATATATGCCATATATACTACACCATTTATGTGTGTGTGTGTATATGTGTGTGCATCTGTGTATATATGTATGTGTATTTCAGAGAGAGAGACTACAATTATTCTACTTTGGACTTCCTGTTACCTATTTCATTTAAACAACCTAGGACTAAATGCATTGCCTACTTAACTGTATTTAAAATACCACTCGATTGCATCCTTCCTAATTTTCAGTGCAAGTTATGTTTTCTGACTTTGATTTTTTTGATGACTCTACCATTTTTCTATGCCAATCCTGCTTCTAGAAAAGCTCCGAATATGAATTTTCTCTATGGTAAAGCTCAATCCGATAGCAAACACACTTCAAATAAGCATCTTTGCCAGGTGTCTTGCTCCAGCTGGATTTAATTAACCCCATCCAGACTGGGTTTCCAGGTGAATTACTCAGCAACCCGACTTTAGAAGAGGCAGACATGCATTCAAACGTCATCTTAAAGCAATGTTACATTATTTTTTGTATAACAGAAAAATTTTCTACAGCTTCCATACAGTTAGATAAGAAGGGATAGAGACATTCAGTCTGTGTTTTAAGTCAATGCTCTTTAATGCAGCCACATGCTTCACACTAAGGGCCTGAAAATATTGATTTTGCTGTTCATGTACACATCTGCAGATGAACAAAATTATCAAGGATCAGGTTATGTGGTCCTTGTTGGCTCTCTAACATTTTCCCTTCAAGTGGAAGACTTCAATCCTGCAAGCATGTTCATACTCTATATTTGTTAATATTATATTTCATGATTTCTGAAGTTATTTGTAGGTAATACAGTAAACATACCCTGATTGCCCTGCTTTATCTGTCTGTGACCCACTCTTTCTCTGCCAAAATATCCTCATTTATATATTCTTTCCTGTCATATTGGATAAATCATCAACAACTCTCTTGATGAAAAGTAACATGGTTACTTTTCAAGAGGTTCTTCAGTTTAATGCTCTTTGATGAATCATCTCCCCCTTTTTGTATTTGACAGATGTTCGTATTGTTTATCAAAAGAAAAAAAAATGGTTGAACTTTCTGTTCCAATGTGATTGTCATTTGTACACTTAGGAATGTCATGAACTACCCTGATTTCAATGATCGCATGACTACGCTGTATAGAACAAAGGCATATGGTTAATATGGAACATAAAGACTAAGGGCCATGGAAGTTAAAGGTTGTGTGATAAAATGCAAAGTCTACTATGATACCCTTCAAAGGAAGCCAGATTTCTGCTTTTTCCATTAAAACCCAATGATAATTGACTAGAAACATGGATAAAATATGCAGATAAAATTACAGTAACTATAAAGTTGCAATTAAATTTATCTTCTTAAATCCTTATTTTAGTGTGTTACCAAATCAAGTTAAAAGAAAATGGACATTAGAGTCAGGAGAAAAGGGGGAAAAAAACCACAATGTATCTTCATGACCCCAACCCTACTTACCACATTTCAATTCTTAGATGCAGTCACTGTCAGCCACTTGTACTTTTGTTCCTGGTTGTTATCATAATAATATGTATGATATGTTTCTACTTCTTGACAAATTAATTTCTGGCAGTATAGATATTTACTCCATAATATGAAGGCCAGCCATATTACTTTTCATCCCCAGGTATTTACTAATTTTATTACTTTCAATCACTTTATTCTTGTATTTTTTGCTTTTATTACATTAAATGATATGAGTATACCTTTTTAAAAATTTTTGTATTAAGTTTAGAAAGAAACTGTTGACCAATAGGAAAAATGAGAATATCATCACACATCTTTACTGTCTCCTCCACCTCCTATTTTGAATTATATTATTTTTGCATTAGTAGTAATTGTAACATTTATATCTGTTTTATAAATATAGGTATTCTTGGCTTGAGTCTGTGAATTGAAAATACATCGCTGTTGTTTTACAAAAGCTAATTATAGCTTTACAGCCAAGTAATAGAAATGAATGTTTTTAAACAATTATGATTTTGTAGACACTGTGTTAAGTAAAATATTTCATCAGGTTCTCATGACACAGATGCTATCATTTTACCCATCTCACAAATTGATAAACTGAGTTGTAGAGAGGTTATGTGACTTACCTGAAACTATTTGGTTAATATGTGGTAGAGCCAGGATTTACATTTATACTATCCTAATCATGGTGTTGATTTTACTAAAAGTCTGATTTTTCTTAGTTGCATAAATTACAGTCCAGGTTAACATAAAATGCAGTGTGAATTTCCTCCATAGTTGGTTAGAGTTAAAGATTTTTATGCATTTGAAAATCACAGATATTTAAAATGTTAATTAACTTTAATGGTATAAAATTATCAATTATGAATTCATTTTTAAGTCTAGACATGACCTCAAGGGCCACTCAGTGCAATCCTTTTTTCAATGAGAATGCCAAAACTCAAATAATTATATGACTTAGATAAGATATCCCCACACTCAGGTGATTAGTTAATGGCCAAGGAAAAGGGGAAGTAAGACAAGGGAAAACAGCTAGAATGCATAAGCAATTCTCTTTTTTTTTTCATCATACTCATTCTAACCTTGTATACTATGCTGTAGATAAGAAAACTAGTTTTTCATACATTCTCACTTATATTCTCTTTTCTACACCCGTTGCTTACCTAAAAAATGAAGATAAAGCAGAGGCTGCATAGAGAACTTAAAAGTCCCCTAAACAGTCTAGAATTTTTTTATTTTTTATATTTACATAACTAAAGTCATTTTCCAATCTATGAATATGCTAGCTTCCATAAGCTTGTTAGCTGTTTAGGGTATTTTGGAGTATATGGAGGGATTTGATTTCCTAATAATTGTACAAAATTCTGGTGTATTAACCAGGGTAGAAGCAATTAAAAGGAAATGAGAAACAAATGAAAAATAAATCTCTGTGTGTGTGTATGTGTGCACATGTGTGCACAAATATATATATATATATATGTGTATACACACACACGTACACACACACATATATTTTTAGATGAAGTCTTGCTGCGATGCCCAGGCTGGAGTGCAGTAGCCCAATCTCAGCTCACTGCAACCTCCGCTTCCTGGGTTCAAGCTATTCTCATCACTCAGCCTCCTGAGTAGCTAGGACTACAGGCACACACCACCATGCCTGGCTAATTTTCATATTTTCAGTAGAGACAGGGTTTTACTGTATTGTGAAGGCTGATCTCAAACTCCTGACCTCAAGTGATCCACCTGCCTTGGCCTCCCAAAGTGCTGGGATTACAGGTGTGAGCCACCATGCCCAGCCAATTTTGAATTATGGTTTTAGAAAATAACAGCTAGCCTACCTTTGTAATGTCTTTTGTTTTCCTTTGCATAGCATGAGCTCTTAAACAGGAGTCCACTGACAGATTCAAACATCCTAAAGTTGCATGTAAATTTTGTTTACAGATGTGGACATGGATAGTTATTTGTAGGAGTAGATGTTTCATAGCTCTTATAAGATTCTCGAAGGTGTCTGTGATTCAGAAAAGGTGAAGAAACAGTTTACTAATGATTTCCACTTCTGTTGGAATAAATTATAATTTGTTAACAGCCAAGGCATTATGCTAACTTAGCTGGTTTCTGTCTCTTAAATCTAACTCCTACCAGTTGATACTTAGAATCTTCCAATGGAGCCAGGCCTGTGAGGGCTTGATTTATCTGAGCATTTTTTGCTTTTTTCTTCCCTAAGAACCTTAGTTCTCTAATACTTACACAACTTAGAATTCTATTATCAATACTTTTTTTTAATGCAAGCCAAAGTTCTATTTAATCCTCCTTTCAGCCTCAGAAAGCTTTCTTGACCTCTTCAGATTTTACAAAACATTTTCTCTTATTGTCTGTGCTTTTTCACATTTAGAGTTTAATGAATTCATTATGGCATCTTTATTTTTCTTTCTCATTAAATTTAAAGACATGAACTGCCTCTTACACTCCTTTGAGTTTTCTCTGTTATCAAGTAATGTGGTGTGTATATTGTATGTGTTCATTCATTCTCTCATGTAGTTGATAAATACTTGTTGAGCCTCTATTATGTGTCAGGCTGGGTTTCCAGCAGTTAACAAAACAGGCAATAAAAGATGCTACATTCTAGTGGACAAGAAAGATAGATAACTTTAATTAAATTATATAATATGGTAAATACTAGCAATTGTTAATGAGAATAGTATGAAGCAGTTAAGGAGAAACAAAGTAAGTATATGTGAGTTTAATTTGAGGCATGCAATTTTCTTTTTCATTTACATTTTTGTTTACTTAGGAGACTGGATCTTGCTCTGTCACCCAGGCTGCAGTGCAGTGGTGCAATCATGGCTCACTAAAGCCTTCCAGGCTCAAGTGATTATCCAGCCTCAGCCTCCTGAGTAGCTGGGACCACAGGGGCATGCCAGCACACTTGGCTAATTTAAAAATATATATATTGTAGAAACCAGGTCTTACTACGTGGTTCAGGCTGGTCTTTAACTCCTGGCCTCAACCAAATCCTTTAGCCTCAGCCTCTCAAAGTGCTTGGTTTACAGGTGTGAGCCAAGGTGCCTGGCCAGCATGCAATTATAGATAGGGATTGGGCAGGGAAGCATTTATTGGTGATGTGATTTTCGAGTAAAGACCCTGTGGAGTTAAGGAGTAAGCCATGTTGATGTCTTGGAAAAGCAAATTCCAACAAGTTCAAGTGCAGGAAACTACGGATCCTGTTTATGGAATATGAGGAAAGAGGCAAGAAATAAAGTCAGAGGGTTAATCAGGACTGGGACCCTGTTGGACTTTGTAGACCACATAAAATATGTAGTATTTACTTCCCCTAAAGCAGAGATTTGAGAAAATGAATATGATGAAACATGTTAACAGATCATTCTGGCAATTCTGCTGAGTACTTATTAACACAGGCAAGAGTGAGAGAAGGGGGAACAGTTATAAGGCTATTGTGGTAATTCATGCAAGGTAAAATGGATTTTAGACTAGAGTGATGGCAGTGAGGAGAGTCAGAAGCAGTCAAATTCTGAATACATTTTGAATTAAATGTTGTGTGAGAGTAAAATAGTCATTAAGGATAACTCCAAGAGTTTTCATCTGAGTAACTGCAATTTTAAACATGCTGTTCATTATTGAGGAAGGGAGAGCAGCAAGAAAAGTAGGTAGATTTGGGGGAGTGTGATGAGGATAAATATCAGAAACTCAGTTCAGGAAACCTGAAGCTTGTGATGACTAAATGGAGATCCTGAGTACACAGAAGAATGCTTAATTTGGAGTTTAGGGAAGAGGTCTGGATTAGAGATACAAAACTGGGCGCTGCCAGTAAATGGGTGATATTGAAATCCAGGAGACTGGATGACATAGATATATTTTTGTTGCTTGGATATGCTAGTGTAGATTATTTATCTTCTTCAGGATTTTCTTTTGTCTCATGTCTTTATTGATTTATTATCGACAAATAAAAATTGTATGTGTTTACAGTATACAACATCAGCATTTTTTTTGAGACAGGGTCTTACTCTGTTGCCCATGCTATAGTGCAGTGGTACAATCATTGTTCACTGCACCTTCAACCTCCCTGGGCTCAGGTGATCCTTCCACCTCAGACTCCTGAGTAGCTGGTACCATAGGCACATGACATAACACCCAGCTAGTTTCTCTGCTTTTTGTAGAGACAAGATTTCACCACATTGCCCAGGCTGCTCTCGAACTTCTAGGCTGAAAGGATCCACCTGCCTCCATCTCCCAGATTGTTGGGATTACAGGCATGAGCCACCACACCCAACAAGATCTTCAATTAAAATTATGACTTGTTTAAATAGAAGTGTTTTGAAGGGTAAATGAAGAATTGCACTCAAGCCTTAAGGGCCATGGGCATAGGTTGCCAATAAAAATTAAGCAGAGAAGTAAATCTCATGGAACATTCTAGACTGATTTATATTTGTCTCTGTGTATGTGTGTATGTGTATGTGTTTTAGGCCAGACCTGTTTGATTGGAATAGTGTGGTTTCCCAGCAATCAGCCACACAACGACTGGAACATGCATTCAACATCGCCAGATATCAATTAGGCATAGAGAAACTACTCGATCCTGAAGGTTGGTACATTTCTGGACTACCACTGCTTTTAGTATAGTTCAGTTTAATGTTTTCATCTGATGAGACTCGTCATTTCTACATACTAAGCACAAAATACAAAATTACATATCTTATGTTTTTTCTCATCTTCTAGATATATTTAAAATGCTCTATCTTCTTGCAATGTATTATGAATTGTCTTATTTAATTCTAATTCTCAAAATACCAGTATCTAAAATTGCAGTGGAGATTTAGGGGAGAAAAGCCTTTAAAATGTATATTCCCTATGGATGGAGCATACTGCATTTGGAGTACAATGACTCCAAATAATTATAAAAAGCTAATGTTTTGCTTATGCTACCAAGGATTTGATAGAGTAATCAGCTATAATTAATTAGCTACTCTTGCCAATTTCATTCATATACTCTATAAAAGGCAACATGGTTTACTATTTAAATCAGGAAGTCTTTTCTTGCCACTACTTCTGTTATAATTTGTCACTCTGGGGAGATCTTCTATTGGATGGTTATTCATTTTCTGCTTCTTTAGTTGATAATGAGAATTGTATCTATATTTTTATTGCATTACACTTTTATTCTTATCTCTGGTGCTACATAGTCATACCTTCCAGACATATGGATTACAGGGATAACATTCTGACCTCTACTCTTCTAGCCTATGAAGTACACTTTTGGCCATGTCAATCTGAAAATTGTAGCCTCTATTCTCACTTATTAAGGCTTTACCACACTGTAAAACTATAAGTTGGAAAAGTGAAGTTAGTGGGATTGAAGGTGATATTTGAGTAGAAGCTGTGATACAGTAGAAGCTGATAATTCAATGGTTTTTTGGAATACTGAATCAGTTTCATCAGTTCCAAAACAGTAGATCTTTCTGTATTGATGGTAGGTTCCTTCAAGAAAAGCTCAAAAATTACCTAGAAGATAGCCTTTTGCTGGTTTATTATCAACCAGAATCTAGTCCTCAATTTTGTGGACTTAGAAACCTGATTGCCTCAGATCGTCTAGCAGATCCATATCTGGGAGTGGGAGGAGTTAATTTTAAGTAAGTTTAAAAAGTGGTATGTAAATAAAAATGGGAATTCAGTAATTTTAAATGAAATCCAAAAAGCAGCAGAATACTCACATACAACTGACAAATATATTGCTCTTGATTAGCAAATGTACTTAGGAAAGCCAATTATAACAACACAAATGTTAGTTTGTGAAGTTGGAATCAGATTAAATTGATTTGAAATGATCATTTTCTTTGGATAATGCATGGCTGAACACTGAATACTGTAACCCCTTTTTATTGCTTCTATATATGATAGTATCCCTCCTGTCCATGTTTTTAGCTCTAAGGATGAAATCATATTAATCCTATGTCCTTATTTTGTAGCGTAGGAGAAGGTTACTTTACTATTGACTCCTAGTACAGATTTGCATGTTTTCTCTTAGTTCAGTGAAGTAGAAACGACAGATGTAATGAAAATATGGACTTCAACTTCTGAGGTTAAAGAGCTATAGTGTAGGGATTTGAACGATAAGTTTGTTAATATGTTTTTGTTTTTTACTGAATCACATGTGGTGGTCAGTTCCTATTAGGGGTTTATGCTCTAGTTATTCTTGTGTGTGTGTCCTACCCTTTCATAAAACAGTAAGAGAAGATTTAAAATAGACCTTTTTCTTATTAAGTAAAAAAACCGGCTTTGATCTCTAGCCTTCCTCTGATTTGATGGAATAGGAGTGCCTAAATGGGCATCTACATTTAGCTATGTATCCTAAATATATATGCACCCATACAGGAGCACCCAGATTCATAAGGCAAGTTCTTGGAGACCTACAAAGGGACTTAGACTCCTACACAATAATCGTGGGAGACTTTAACATCCCATCGTTAGCGCTGGATCAATGAGGCAGAAAATTAACAAGGATATTCAGGACTTGAACTCAGCTCTGGACCAAGTGAACCTCATAGACATCTACAGAACTCTCCACCCCAAATCAAAGAAATAGACATTCTTCTCAGCACCACATGGCACTTATTCTAAAATTGACCACATAATTGGAAGGAAAACACTCCTTAGCAAAAGCAAAAGAATGGAAATCATAACTAATGGTCTATGAGACCAGAATGCAAATTGAGAATTCAGGATTAAGAAACTGACTCAAAACAGTACAACTACATGGAACCTGAACAACCTACTCCTGAAAGACTACTGGGGTAGATAACGAAATTAAGGCAGAAATAAGTAAGTTATTTGAAACCAGTGAGAAAAAAGATAAAATGTTCCAGAATCTCTGGGACACAGCTATAAACCGGTGTTTAGAGGGAAACTTAGAGCACTAAATGCCCATAGGAGAAAGTGAGAAAGAGCTAAAATCAACACCCTGACATCACAGTTAAAAGAACTAGAGAAGCAAGAGGAAACAAATTCAAAAGCTAGCAGAAGACAAGAAATAACAGAGCAGAACTGAAGGAGACAGAGACATGAAAAACTAATCAAAATATAAATGAATCCAGGAGCTAGTTCTTTGAAAAGATTAACAAAATATAGACCACTAGCCAAACTAATAAAGAAAAAAAGAGAGAGGAATCAAATAGACACAATAAAAAATGATAAAGGGAATATCACCACCAATCCCCCAGAAATACAAACTATCATCAGAGAATACTACAAATAACTCTATGCAAATAAACTAGAAAATCTAGAAGAAATGGATAAATTCCTGGACATATACACCCTCCCAAGACTAAACCAGGAAGAAGTCACATACCTGAATAAACCAATAACAATTTCTGAAATTGAGGCAGCAATTAATAGCCTACTAACAACAACAACAAAAAAGCCCAGGATCAGACGAATTCATAGCCAAATTCTGCCAGCAATACAAAGGAGAGCTGGTACCATTCCTTCTGAGACAATTTTAAACAAAAGAAAAAGAGGGGATCCCCCCTAACTCATTTTATGAGACCAGCATTACCCTGATATTGAAACCTGGCAGAGACACAATAAAAATAAATTCAAGCCAATATCCCAGATGGACATAGATGCAAAAATCTTCAATAAAATACTGGCAAACTGAATCCAGCAGCACATCAAAAAGCTTATCCACGACGATAAAGTCAGCTTCATCCCTGGGATGCAAGGCTGGTTCAACATACACAGATGAGTAAATGTAATTCATCACATAAACAGAATTCATGACAAAAACCACATGATTATCTCAATAGATGTAGAAAAGGCCTTCAATAAAATTCAACACCCCTTCATGCTAAAAACTCAATAAACTAGGTATTGATGGAATGTATCTCAAACTAATAGCTATTTGTGACAAACCCACAGCCAATATTATATTAAATGGAGAAAAGCTGGACGCATTCCCTTTAAAAATTGGCACAAAACAATGATGCCTTTTCTCGTCACTCCTATTCAACATAGTATTGGAAGTTCTGGCCAGAGCAATCCGGCAAGAGAAAGAAATCAAGGTTATTCAAATAGGAAGAGAGTCAAATTGTCTGTTAGCAGATGACATGATTGTATATTTTGAAAACCCCATCAACTCAGCCCAAATCTCCTTAAGCTGATAAGTAACTTGAGCAAAGTCTCAGGAAACAAAATTAATCTGAAAAAATCACAAGCACTCCTGTACACCAATAATAGCCAAGTCATGAGAGAACTCCCATTCACAATAGCTGCAAAGAGAATAAAATAACTAGGAATACAATTCATAAGGAATGTGAAAGATATTTTCAAGAAGAAGTACAAACCACTGCTCAAGAAGATAAGAAAGAATACAAACACATAGAAAAACATTCCATGCTCATGGATAGGGAAAATCAGTAGAGTGAAAATGGCCATACTGCCTAAAGTAATTTATAGATTGAATGCTATCCCCATCAAGCTATCATTGACTTTCTTCACAGAAATAGAAAAAAAAACTATGGTAAATTTCATGTAGAACCAGAAAACAGCCCGTGTAGCCAAAACAATGCTAAGCAAAAAGAACAAAGCTGTAGGCATCATGCTATCTGACTGCAAACTAAACTACAAGGCTACCGTATCCAAAAAAAAAGCATGGTACTGGCACCAAAAGAGATATATAGACCAATGGAACAGAGCAGAGACCTCAGAAATAATGCCACACATCTACAGTCATCTGATCCTTGACAAACCTGACAAAAACAAGCAATGAGGAAAGGATTCCCTATTTAATAAATGGTACCGGGAATACTGGCTTGTCATATGTAGAAAACTGAAACTGGACTCCTTCCTTATACCTTATACAAAAATTAACTCAAGATGAATTAAAGACTTAAATGTAGTACCTAAAACCATAACAACCATGGAGTAAAACCTAGGCAATACCATTCAGGACATAGGCATGGACAAAGACTTCGTGACTAAAGTGCCTAAAGCAACACAGCAGAAGCCAAAATTGACAAATAGGATATAATTAAAGAGCTTCACAGCAACAGAAACTGTCATCGGAGCGAACAGGCAACATACAGAATAGGAGACAATTTTTGCAATCTATCCATCTGACAAAGGGCTAATATCCAGAATCTATAAGGAATCTAAATCTTGTAAAACGAATGTACAAGATTTGTTTTACAAATGTAAAACAAATGTAACCCACCAAAAAGTGGGTGAAGAATATGAACAGACACTTCTCATTTATGCAGCAGACAAACATGAAAAAAAGCTCATCATGATTGGTCATTTGAGAAATGCAAATCTAAAGCCACAATGATAGACCGTCTCATGCCTGTTCGAATGGCAACATTTAAAAAGTCAAGAAACAAAAGATCCTGGGGAGAATGTGGAGAAATAAATAGGAATGCTTTTGCACTATTGGTGGAAGTATAAATTAGTTCAACCATCATAGAAAACAATGTGGCAATTCCTCAAGGATCTATAACCAGAAGTACCATTTGACCCAGCAATCCCATTGCCGGGTATGTACTCAAAGGATTATAAGTTATTCTACTGTAAAGACATGTGTACATGTATGTT